GGGTGGTCTTCTTTCTCTTCTCTCTATTCTCTGCCTATATACACAGTTCCTTTTGAAATTTTTGAGGTTGTTGGAAAAGTTTTCAGAGAGGAGAGTAGAAATTTTGGCTGTGAGGAGTTTGGGAAGAGAATTTCTGTGAGAGCGTTTCTTTGAGGCGAATTCTTGTGTTGCAGTGCTTTTATATTGGCGTTAAGGAGGTACCATTCTTCCCCCCTCTTCTTCGGTGCTCTGTTTCTTTTCGGTTTTCCTCTCTGCCGAGTCTTTGAACTTGGCCCTGTTGGATGATACGGCATGCTAGTTCACTTTACTTTCATACATTTTTTAGGTATTCACTTTAAGAGCATGTGAAAGATGAAATGTGAGCATGATTTAAAATTTAGATTTGAATATTTGCTTAAAATGATGGAGATATGGCACGTTTTCTGTTTATCATATCATGTTTATGTTGGAAACATTTAGGGAGTTAAGGCATGACTTTGAAATGATTTTTGCTCCTCTTGCAAGCATGTTGGGGTTTCGGTTTTGGCATCTTATGACTGGTTCTTGCTTAAAATGAATGCTAGGGAGTTCGCTTTACTTCTTATACATATGTGGGGGCTCGGTTTTGGCTTCCTGTGGCTTTCCCTGACTTGAAATATATATTATAAGAAAACTTGTTTAATTTGGAAAACCTTATATCTTGTTTTGAGAATTCGGCTTAACTCTTCATGAGGCATCTCCCCTGTTCATATATTTGTTGGAATAATTTCATGCTTAGAATGTTGAGACATGCAGGTTGGTTCCTTGGCTTTGGATGGCTTGGTTTTACCTTCAGAAGGCTGAATTTTAATTTCTGTTAAAGCCTAATTTATATCAATGCTTGGGCCTGTTTTAATCTCGTTGAGCTCTGGCTTTGGCTTTGGTTTTGATTGAGCTCGGTTTGGCTCCGGTTGGGGGCTGGCTTTGGCTTTGTTTCTTGTTGAACTCGGTTTGGCTCTAGATGGGGAGCTGTGTTGATTTTGTTTGGCCTTACTGGACTCGGTTTGACTCTAGTGTGAGCTGTGTTTGCTTGCTCTAGCTCTGCTGACTTGGTTTGATTCTAGTTGTTGGTCTTGATTTGCTCTGTTTGGCCTTTGCTGGCCTTGGATTGGCGTAAGCCGTGAGCTTTAACAGTTCTTTCCTGGGTCCTTTGTTGTCTTAACCGTAAGCCTTACTTATTGTCTCTTGGACTGCCTTTGGTTGTGGGTCTTGGCAGCTGTCTCTTGCTTTAACCGTGAACCTTTTTTGGCCCCGTTCCTTGCCCTGGCCGAGAGCTTTG